AAAAAAAAAAAAAGAAAAAAAAGAAGAAGTGGAACAGAAAAGTGCCGATTTTTGGGAAGAGAGAGGATAAAAGAAGAAAAAATAACATTGTCGAGAAGGAAAATACGTTCGAGACAAACGCGAGAGACAGATATTGTGTGTTAGGATAGAGCAGAGCGCGAGTGGCATATACAGGGTGTCTTATTTGGACGCTTTTGTTAATGTTATTATTTATCGATAGCGATAAATGTTTCATTGTGAAATTGATATGATCCATCAAATTTTGATATTCTATATCTATAAACAAAAAGCGTTAATCCATGCTAAAAATTGAAATTTAATTTTTTGTAAAATTTATTCTACGAGAAACAAGGAACGCAAAGATCTGACATTGGGTGAACGAAAAAATTACCATCTCATCTCTTCAACATCATTCAACTTTTATCCGAAATATTTTTCGCTACGAGTATAATAACACTTAGAAAATTAAGATGTCAAAATCAAAATCGATTGGAACACCCTGTATATACGTTCGAGTTCGACGAGAGAAAACGATTGGATCCTTTACGATTACAAAAGAGTTCGATGTATTTGAAATTTCACCTATTTTCTATAAAAGAATCCAATCGGTTTCAATCGTTTAAACCGATTCCAAATTCAATGGACGAGTGAAAATGAAAAATACGGGAGAGAAAGAGAGAGAGAAAGAGAGAGAGAGAGAGAAGAATAGATGCCGGAAGATGGCACTCGCGCATGCCCGATATGGAGATAAATGTGTCTCGATTCTGAAACGAAAGTGGGAAGAGAGCAAAGTGGAATGAAAAAGCAATTCGAGACACACGAAATCACGTGAATCAACGACTGTTGAAATCTGCTTCGAACAGAGTTGAAACGATGAGGAAAAGAAGAGACAGATACAAGAGAGAGAGAGAGAGAGAGAGAAGGGAAATTTTGGTTCGACAGGAAAAAGAAAGAGAGAGAGAGAGAGACACAAGAGTATTGAACACAGCTGTGTACACGTATCAATGGATACAAGGATGACAATTATACAGAGAACAATAAATAAATTGACAGGCAAGAACAACAATGTCCTCGTACAGATATAACGTTATATCTTACAGCTTGCTTCGAACTCTTCGTTGCGTACACGTTGTTTCTCGACAACGTGACACGCGATTAACACGATTCATCTTTGAGAATCGGTGCTAGGTTGCTTTTCTTTTTTTCTTTTTCTTTTTCGATTGGTTAAAGTTGCCAAAACGCGAGATTCGAGATTCGAGAAGGGGGGATAGTAGGGGTGGATAGATAGGGGAAGGAGATTCACTTTCTTTTCCTTTTTTTTTTTTTTCTCTCAACGTGTCGAATAGGACAAAGAGGATGTTCAGTTAGACAACTTCCTTCCGGTGCTCTTCTCCATCTTGCGTTAACATGGCGCGGTCACAAGAGAATTCGTCACTTTTTCCTCGAGATGCGTTCATCTTGAGGAGAAAGAGGGGAAGTTTTCTTGGGGAAAAGGAGAGATTCATTGACGCTTACCTTCATCATGAGCAGTACTGTGTTTAATACGATGAGACCCATGATAAAATATTCGAAAGGCGTCGATACCACTATTCTCCAGATTTTGTACTTTACGCTGTTCCGCTCTTTCGGCATGTACCTTTCCAGAGGGCGAGCTTGTATCGTGAAGTCTATGCAAGATTTCTGAAAGGAAATATGGTTAATCGTGATTTTGTTTATCCTTACTTTCCTTACAATCGTTTCTAATCATTTTTAGAGATTCAGAGATAGACCTGATGGTTTTTCGTACACGATAAATATTGTATGGGTCACGTATATCTATAAATAAGCCCAATTTCAATTGAAAAAATCTACAGTGATTAAACAAAGAATTTAGAATTAACGTAACATTAATAAATAAATCGCAACTTGTTACCGATGACAACGTTTGATAATGAATATAATAAAACAACAAGAAAAATTTATATCAAATATATCTTTCTCTTATTGAACATCAGCAACGAGAATAGAAATTTAAATAATGAGAACAATTTGATCGTTAGAACAAATTTTTTCAATTTGAAATCGAAATTATAAAAATCTTGTTCATAGAATGGAATCTGAATCGAATCCTGGCGAACCGAACCAACCTGATTTTTATCGATTTCACCGTCTTGCAATTCAGCCTCTCCCTGCTCCTGGAAAGTGATGATAATCAAGGCCACGAAGATGTTGACGAAGAAGAATGGAAATACGATGAAGTAGACGATGTAGAAAATGGACATCTCTATACGAAAATTCTGTATGGGGCCCTTGTCCTCGTACGTGGCCGCCATCGAGTTCTGCAGGATTTGCGGCCAACCCTCGCCAGTTTGTACCGCGAACAGCGTAAGCATGGCGGCCATCACGTTGTCGTAGTGAAAAAACTGCGACTGCCATTCACGTTTCTTTGGCTCTGGCAACAGGGCGCCGTCCTCGAAAACGAATATTGACCCCTGCGCGAAACGAAATTAAAATAAGAGACGAATGTGCATACCTAAAAATCCGATTCGTTTCCCATTTTAAAAATATGATCGCATGAATCGTAACCTCCCTCTGGGTCACATTCCGTGGAGAACATTCTCTTTTCTAAGGGGGGATACTCACTGGCAATCCTGTTGCGTGTATTTGCTCTCGTCGCTGCAGTAGAAGAACTTGCCGTTGAACAGCTGCACCGCGATCACAGCGAATATGAATTGGAACAATATGTACACTATGAGAATGTTAATGACATTTTTAAGACTGTTCACCACGCAGTCGAACACCGCCTTCAGCTTCGGCACCCTCTTGATCGTCTTTAACGGCCTCAGTACGCGGAGAACCCTCAACGACTTGATCGTGGAGAGATTTTGCCCGGCCGAGCTGCCCGTCATGTCGAAGGCGAACGAAACCGCGGCGCATATCACCACAACCGCGTCCATAATGTTCCAGAACTCGCGCAGATACGAGCCCGGATGCAGTATGATACCGAGATCGATGATCTTCAGTATCATCTCGACGGTGAAGACACCTGTGAACGCGTAATCGAAGTAATTGAGAACTTCGTTCCTCGGCGAGTCCTCCCATACGGGATCTTCGGCGGCCAACGCGATACTCGACAGCGATATCACCACCATTATGAAGAAGTCGAAGTACCTCAGGTTGACGACCCAATGGGCGGCTCTTCTTACTCTGCAATATTATTTTATTATTTTCTTTTCCTTTTTTTCTTCGTTGGAAAAATGAACCACTTTTTCTTCTAAAGATTTCTTCTGAGATTGAGATTGAATTTTCTCAGGAATTTTATTACACACAGATGTAGATATGTAAAATGAAAGAATCTTTATTGGATCGTTTGTCTCTGATTCAAAAGTAATGGCTCGAATATATTTATTTACAAACTTAAAACGTTTTATGCAATTTAATTTTGCATAAACAAACTTTCATGAATTAAAATTGGAATAGTTCGAAACTTATTCGACTGGTTCATTATTCCTTTATAGGATTTATCAGGGAACAACTTACGGATTCGTAGGGGACAGTATAAACATGGAGGAGTATGGCAGCATTGGTTTTGGTCCCGTGTCATCGTCTTCATCCTGCTTTTTCTCTTCTTCGGATGACTGTTTTCCACCTTTACCGTCTTTGCTGAAATCCAACGACAATTCCAAATATACGTAATTTCAATTTGAAAGAGGAGCAAGATCGTGACGATGATGAAACTTACAAATTCTGGTTCGGACTCGGAGGGCAGATTTCTACCTTGGGCGCGCCACCGTCTTTTGGATTCTGCAGGGATTGGATCTCTTTCTCGATCTCCTGCGCCTGCTTCTGCTTGTCCTCCTCTTCCTCCTCGTTCTCGGCGGCGCTCAGCTCTTGTGCGTTTGCCAGATTGTCGACGGCGATAGCCAAGAACACGTTCAGCAGTGTGTAGTTGCCGAACAGCACCAACACGATGAAGTAGAGCGAGTAGATCATGCCCTTCTTGTGACCACCTTGCGATTCTATACCCTGGTACATCACTTCGTTCCAATCTTCTCCGGTCAGGATCTGGTCAGAATCGAATCATCGTGTTTGATTAATAAAAATGACGACATTGTTTTTATCGAACTGATTAATAGAAATCTTAGTCGAGCTATTTCTCGAAAAATATTTTGTATTGCGTCGAGCTATATTGACGTAATACGCTCGAAGGAAAGACCATGCTTCGTGTTCTCTTTCCTTTCAATATAATGATGTAGGTTTCTTTTCTTTTTTATTAGAAGCAATATTTTTTTTTTTTTTTTTTTTTAGTTTGAAAAACTTTCTTAAAAAGTTTCTTGAAATTTTATCATTCTCTTTCTGCATCCTCGTTAGGATGAGATAAATTGGATTATTTCTCCAGGATATCCAGGAAATTTATACGAGAAAATTAATATTTTTAATTTCGCTTATAAAGCATGAAACGTGGAGAGAAATTTTAAATATTGAAGTATATTAAGCAGGAAGGATAAAAATTCTACGAGTACGTTCCAATATTTAAAGACTTGTGATTTATCTTGCGCATTTAGGAAAAGTTAGTTTCTGTCGAGCGAATTTTTAAGATATTCGTTAGATATATGAACAAACAGGAATATTAAAAACTTTTTAAAAATCTATCTATTATTTTATGATAATTTCTTTAATGTATTTCTACATTCTTTTCGCATAAAATCATTCTTACTGAAACACAAATTATTGAAAAATGATTCATCAGTTCTAATATAACACGCATTCCTTGTAGAAGATACTTTTTGTTCATTATTAATTTTAATTACTCGATAGATACCTTATATTATTGATCGTCTCGTATCAAAATTTTAATCGAAAATCAAGGAAAACGCTTTAAAACATTTTTAACTGAAATTTATTTAAAAAGAATTGCACGTAGCATGTAAATGCAAGAAGATTTACAAATTTCTGTACACACGCAAGGTGCCATTATGCATTATACCTTGATTCGCAAATTATATTTACAGAAACAAATTTATCCTCGTTTGTCTATCGTCAAAATGAATTTTGACCATAAATAAAATTATCTTTCGATGCATCTGACCAATAAAATTTCTTCCAATTTCAATCACATATATTGTGCAAATATAACATACTCTTAAAAAATTAATAAAATACATAATGGAACGTACTTATAACAATACACTTTTTCCACCTTAGTTTCATTATCTCTAAAATCAACCAAACCAACGAAATAGAAGGAAAAGATCAATCTTCGATACTTACTTGGAAGACAGTGAGCAGCGCGATGGGAAAGGTGTTGAAGTTGGTGGGCGGCGTGCCTGAATCGAAGTTGAATTGGCCGCCGAACAGCTGCATACCGAGCAGCGCGAATATGAGAATGAAGAGGAAGAGCAGGAAGAGCAGGGAGATGATGCTACGCATCGAGCTGAGCAGCGATATTACGAGGTTTCTCAGGCTCTTCCAGTATTTGGTGACCTTAAAAATTCGCAGGAGTCTAAGGGCACGTAGGACGGAGAGGCCGAAAGAGCCGGACTTCACCTCGGACCAGATCACTTCGAAGATCGATCCCGAGATGACCACGCAGTCGAAACGATTGAAGCTCGAGTCGAAGTATGTGCGAGGACCGAGCGCGTACACCTTGATGAACATCTCCAACATGAACAGAGCCAGGAACACGAACTCTGCGAAGTCTGCCCAAGATAACCACAGTTAGATTGCTTTCGTCCACTGTTTTCTTTTTTTTTTCTTGTAATTCTTAGTTGTAAATTAATTGCCACTGATTGACCATGAAATTCTTCAAAAATTTGATGCATTTTTAAAAAACAAATTTAATATCACTTGAATGTAATTCTTAATTGTAAGTTAATTGATACTGATTGGTCGTCAGATTGGATTAATTTGTAGTGCACTGCTTCCTTCGAATTCCATTGATATATTGTAAATTTAGAAATATGAAATTGATTCAATATGGAATCGAATTAAGACAAATGAATCTAACAGACATTGGAAATTGATGTTTCAAGTAGAATAATTTGAACTGTGTTTCTCTGTTCGATCTCTGTCCGAACGGTTTATCATTAAATAATTCGGTGTACTCACAGAGGAAATCGGTCAGCCATTGGGGCTGACCGTAATGCTCCACGGCCACGCAGACGGTGTTGAAGAACACGAGAACGATGACGAACCAGTAGAATTTTTGCGATTTCACGGATTTTCGTATCCAGTACCTGAATCTTTTCTCGGCCAGCCAGAACTGCTTGCAAGGTCCCTTTTCTTTCGTCGAGGAGGACCTCGAAAACCCTGGAAAACCAGCAAATCCATCGTTTCAGCGATTATTTCGATCGATTCCCTTTCTATACTTGCAATTTTCCCCCCTCTTCTCTTTCTCTCTAAAGTTATTTCTCCAATGAAATTTATCCGCGTGTTATCGTGTTATAGCGTCGTTACGCGCAAACTATTTCTCGATAATTTCGCGATACGGCAAATTATTTTTCCGGAAGCGACGTTGCATTGGAGAAAGTTTACCGATACGATCCCATTGTATATACCACGATATCGTGCTCCGATTCGAAACTTTCTTCCTCTCCATTTATTCCTCTCTTTAATAACAATTTTTGCTCGAAAATTTTTTGTTTCTTTGATCTTTCTCTCCTCCTTATTTTTTTTTCTTTTTTTTCGATCGAGAAAGTCAATCAGCACACACACACACACACATATATATAATATAAGGACAGAGACACATCTATTTCTATGAACGTACTCTTCTTCTAACAAGCGTGTTTCTATCTAGATCTATCTATCTACGAATTAGAATCAATATTTCCTTCTACGCGGCCATCTATTTTTAGTATATAACATATTTCTCGCTGTATATACACACTACTTGAAAACATTAATTAGTATTCCTCCACTGCTGGACGTACCTAGACCACGTGGATACACATTTTCACCCGAGGCATTCGCGACTTTGTGTATATAATGGATATATTGTATTTGGCAAAAGTATTTGGCAAATTTTGTATCGATAGAAGAAAAAAAGAATTTCGAAGCATACTTTCATATTCGACGGTTCATTTTTATCTAACAGTACAATAAAAATAATGGTGCGCAAACACTCTTTGTAATCATTGTACGTTTTTAACTTAAAACTTTGATAATTATTATTATTAAGTAACAAATACATCTTCCTTCGATGAAAAATATAATAAATAATTGATAAAAAAAGAAACTTAAAACTTACGTCTCTGCTCTCTGAAATTAAAAAAAGCAAGGAGCGAAATATTTTTCGTCGAATTCGTAAGCAATTAAAAGATTCGAATCGAAGATTGTCGCGAATGCCCTCGGTTGATCGATAAATATACATAAATACACACAATCGCACCAGCCAATAGAAGCAATTCCTAGAAAAAAGAAGATAAATTCGATTTTCACCGAAATGTGTTAAGAATTTCGAAGAATCCGACTTTGAAAGATGTTCTCTCGTTACTAGATTACAATTCTTCGCAATATTATCAACGCAATCTCTATCGTACACGAATTTCGATCTTTGTTACGTGTAGATGTATTACATATATGTATTTCAACTACGTTACATCGAGTGATCATTTCAAGTAATCACATAGGATCCCATAGAATGACTTCGATATTAAATATTTTATAACAACTATATTCCTCTTTTTATTTTTTAACATGGAATTCGAACGAAATTTCGAAAAATTTCAAACGTTAAAAAGAATAGAAAATATCCCCTTTCTTAAAATAATAGAGATTTTAATCGATCAACTTAGCATCAAACATGGAACCCCGAGCGATTTCTGGCTATCACACAATTTTGATCTTGTTCTGTCCTGCGTGTAATATATATATATATATGTATATATGTATCGGTGTAGGAATATTCGATATGCGTGTTTATGATGTAAATAAAAAAACGAAACGACGCTGGAAACGAAAAGGAAATTAAAAAAAAAAAAAAAAAGGACACAGAAAGAAAAACATATACGAATAGAATTTACGGATACAGCCTCGTTGCTCTTTGCGTGAATCGTGACACTGACTGGTAGTTGTAGTTACCTTTCAGTTTTTTCTTAGGCACTGAAACAAGAGGAGCATCTGAGATAGCGTGTGTTTAGAATGTTCGTCGCCGTGGGGAATTAAATTGCCGGCTCTTTATCCGAAACAGAAATCAGAAGGAACAACGTCAGATCGTCCCACGAGCAATCGTCTCGCGCACAATCCCTGTGCACACATCTCTCCACGACCAAGGAAATGGCAATGGTTACTCGTGGGACCATCCGACCATCTTGATTTATTAACGTGTCGATTACAATGAACGGTGAATATATATATACGTGTCGATGGGAAGGCGGAAACACCATCGAACGGAGATTTCGAAGTGAAATGGAAAGCGAGTCAATGTTTCGAGATGTTGTATCTACGCACGATGGTATTTGATCGATAAGAGGATAATAATGGTCGTGAAAACATCGACTCTTTTCGTTCTTCGCTCGCCCTGGATCGAATCAGTGGTTCTCAACCTTCATTTTATTATATCGGTGATAATTGTGGTAAATTGTGTCTATCTTTTTGGCCCGTAGTTTGGTATAAAAATCCATAGAAATTTATCGGTGAGATCCGAATTTTCGAGGCCACACGATTTACAAAGAAGATTTAACTTAATCATGCCATTAATTAATTATATTCTCTAGGGAGGGTACAATAGTTGAAAGTTATGCAAAGAATATTACAAAAAGGTTGAGAAACACTGGGCTAAAATCATTTTTTTTTTTTTTGAACTCGAGAGGGATTAATTAAAAGAAAATCATCGTAAAATCGAAAAGGTTAATGATAAAAGGGAAAAATACAACTCACCGTCATCCTGGTCGTCATCGCCTTCCTCTTCCTCCGTATCCGTACTTTTGCTCTTGCCGAGCTTCTTCTTCTTCGCCTCGGCTCTTTTTCTTCCTACAAACGAATATTTATGAAACTTTTCCCCCCAAAATATAAAGGAAATCAAGTGAAATTCATTGACAACTCGTTCGATATAAATTTTAATTTGAAGAAACGAATAATTAATTGTACATATCGTTTCCTCATTTAATTATTAACGAACCTTCTAATATATGCTTTTTCTCCTCTTCTGTGGTCCTTTCTTCCGCGAGTATTACCTCCTCTATAAATAACAGCAGAACAACGTTTGATCATTGTGCACGAGAACTGAATCGAGAAGAGCGAATGAAATGAAAAAAGAAAAAAAAAAAGGAAAGGAAAATCATTGATTTATCGTTGGACGAGGCATAAAATTACTAAAAAAAAGAAGAAAAAAAAATGGACGAAAGCAACGAAAGTTTCTCCTAGGGAGGCATCAGACTTGATAAAGGCACGATTGATAATTGATGTAGCTGGGCGTGTTCACTTTCTAACCTGCTTTGCAGATCCAATTCAGGTAACAGTACAGTTCATGCTCGAGCTGCTGCTGTCTTCGCAATTTGAGGAAGGACTGCCGGTTCTCCACCTTTTCTCTCTCCTTCGCAAACTCTCTACAAGCGTGACATAGATGATAGAGGGATATTGCAGGGTCGTCTCGACATAAATACTTGGTATTTATTTCTTTCTTTCTTTTCAAGATACGTTCTTTCTAGCAAATATTCGAGTAATACTGCAAGATTGGATTATTGAAATGAATGTGCGTGATACGATATTGAAATATTCGAATAAAATTTGTATCTCTCTTTCTATTTTAACATTCGTATACTTCACTTGGTATTTAGATTTATTCTCCTTGTTTACAGTCACACAAATGAATTTAATTTTCATTTCGCTTTTTACGCGTAATTTTTATTTCAAGGAGAACAAGTTTAATCTTTGTTATATCGTTCACAAGGATTGGATGCATTTTATTGAACAAAAAAAAAAAAAAATTAAATAAAAAGAAACGTAAAAAACGTAAGTATTATTTCAAAGATTCTAAATAGATCCTAAATAAAAATACATAAATTGGATGGACATTATCTTTATATAACAAACATTAAAATAATTTCTCGAATATGGCATCTCAAATAAATAATGTCATTTAAAAACGAATAAATCGAGAATATAAGTCGAAATTAAATAAAAATTCCATTTCAACGATGCCCAATCCCATCGCGCACGTGTGTATCTAGCAAGGTTTCATTTTACATTGTTACATCACAGGTATTTATCCGCAAAAGCGTCACACGAGAACACTTTTGCAAGATACTTCCTCTCGGGAGAAAAGTCATAGGTCACTACCACTGGCGGGGCGTTATTACTCTAGCTGTACTACTGCCACTAGCGGGCTCGCATCGCAGAGCAAGTAGCGCGAGTAAACGACTAGCGCGCGGACAAACTTGAGGGAAGAGATCGATCGTTTTCGAGAAACCTGCTTGAGTGATCCACTTTAAGTAGGCACTGAACGCAGTCGTGAATAGACGCTTTCTCTTTGCTTTCTGATAAGCCGCCCGCCTCTCCACGCGTGTTCTTTCGTTCGAAAACTCCCTGACGAACAAAAAGAAAGGTAATCGGCCGTTTCTTTCCACCAGGGGGGATCAGGGAGGAGGGGGGGAGGAGGAGGAAACCTGACGACCCGACGCAGGGTCGTTCGCACTTCGATCGAAGGAATTCCCCTCCAAAGTGACGAATCCGATATTTGCCCGAATAAGGCGACGCGTCGCGGCGGGTAATAAGGACGAGGGAGGAAAAGTGAATTTAGAAAATTTTTTTCTTTTTATTCAAGTTAGATTCTTATTTCTCGTTTTGTAATTATTATTATTATTATTTTTATTATTTTTTTTTTTGATCTTTTTTTGATCTAAGTTAGGAACGAATATCGAATTATTTTTTTAAAGTTGTATATATCTCGTTTTTTTATTTCCTTTTAGAAGATTTTATTTTATTTACTGGAAAGATGAGTGAGGCAATAATATAATTCGTCCTTGCTATCCGCGTATTATATTTCGTACAGGACAAACCATCTAATAGATGTAACCATTTCAACGATCTTTAAGTTGAACGTATTTTACGTATAATTTAATATAATTGAAAATAAAAAAGCTTACTTTAAAGGAGAAAAAGATTTAAAAAAATTTGTCCACCACAAATATTAATGTTAATATTACTCGATCAAATGGTTCATCCTGTATAAATGGAGATGGAGAAGTAAGTAACTAATTTAACCAGATTCGAATTTGGTGAATTTGGCGCGGATTTTCGTCGTTAAAAATGGTCCTTCGTAAAAATGGCCATTCGGAGAAAGATAAAGTGGGTTAAAATACGAACGATTGTTAGCCGAGAATTCAAGAATGAGGATACTCACCCGCTCAGAACACCGAGAACTAAGTTCAGCATGAAGAATGAGCCAAGGACGATCAATGGTATAAAGTAAATCCAGTTGTACGTGCTGCCAAGAGCGTCGTTTGTCTGCAAATTTGACCAGAGCCACGTGAAGCCCATATGTTACGTGTGCGAGCGCGAGTCACCGATTCCACACAGCTGTTACGCGCATCGATCGCGATGATCGAAACCAAACATCATTGGCATTTACGACACATAGACATCGAGACACTTAAAACGCTTCGATTTTTTTTTTCTCACTCCAATCCCCCTTTTTTATATTTTTTATATTCCAACTAGATTCTAGAGAGATTATCCAATTTCATTCACCATCTTTGATCTGACCTTTAATTTTTCTCGCAAGAAACAGCACTGAGATAAGGGGCCTGTACACGGATCATTCGATAAATATAATATAATAAATAAATACTTGAATATACATCTATTAAAAGAAGAAATTCTCAAATTTAATTTATTATTTTGATTTATATTTGATTTATCCGGTTGTTCCATTGTGATTTGGAATCCAAGATGTTTTTTTAAAATCAAAAATTGTTAAAGATTTTTGGTATTAACGTAAGAATTAATTTAGAGAATTTGAATAGAAACCTGGATTGATTGGAATTGGAAAAATTTTTTTTCTATATAAAAGATTTTCAAATCTGAATTTAAACGAATTGCAATTATTTGACATATGTTCTATGGATCAAAAAATGTTGGGTATTGACATATATATTCAGATATTGATTTAGCTTAAATTAATCAAAGTGTCGCTACATTAATAAATTTTATTAAAAACTCGAATCTAGATATTCGAATATTGTAAAGTATCGTAAAAATATTGACAATTTTAAAATCGTATTTTCAATCCATTTCTAAAACTGCATACGATCAATGATATTGTCGATATGTCTTATCCATATGGATAAGATATTATTGATACAATATTGTCAATATTCGTTTATATCGAGAATATTCGTCAATACTCGCCCATATCGACAACATCGATTATCGATCCTGCACGGGCCCCATTATAAAAACCAATTATCGTATTCTATTTCCAATTGGGATAGAAAACAAAATGGCACAACACGCGATCCTCAATGATTCATATTCTCATCATGTTGGACTATGAATCATTAATTATGTAACTAATTGACTTATCGATTTATTAAATTTCACGGATTACAACAACACTCACAATTGCAACAATTAAAGAAAAAAAAAAAAAAAGGAAGACACAGTTAAAACATCGCAGACACAAATAAACAAATAAAAATTTCATAGATGTCACAGTGCCATTTCTCGAATATAGCTACAGATATTTGTATTGAAAAAAAAAAAAATAAAAAAATAAAACAAAAAATTTCCATCTCTATCAAAAAATATCGATCATCGTGCGCGAAACCAAAAAATCGAAGAAATTCAAGATCCTCCCTTCTTTCTAAAGGAGGATCACGTTGGTTCGAAGTTCTTCGAGTTTCCGGTTTACGCGGAGGACACGAAGCTTATGGTAAAGAAATGCGATTAACACCAAGAGATTTGCAAAGAGGGCTGAAACTGACAGTGTTATACTGAGCAAGGTGAACATGTAGGTCAGTGTTAGGCTGTTTAAACATCTGCAAGCACTTCTCCTCGATTACGATAAAACGTAATTTTAGGCGGAAGCGAAACGTCATCGGGCAGACACAGTGATAAAATGAGAGAGAGAGAGAGAGAGAGAGGAGAGAGAGAGAACAAATAACACACAGAA